GGCCACGGCACCCAGGACCGCTGGGTGTGGGGCATCAGCCTAACCTGGCCCTGAAAGTATGGGCTTGGGGGATCTGGGCTCTCTTGGGCTGTGTGGCCCTTGGCCAGTCACCTCCCCTCTCCCAGCCTCAGTTTCCCCATCTGTAAAGTTGGCGGCGGGGGTCATGTTAGTATCTGCTTCACAGAATGCTGGTGAGGGTCCAGTAAGATGATGCCTGTACGGATCCGGGCTGTGCCTGGCCTTGAGGGGCCTCTCTGCGACGCTGCCTTTCTCACTAGTGTCAGAGGGGCTGGGAGAGGATCAGAGATGCCCGTGCGCGCGTCTCGACGTGACTGCGTCTGTCTCTGGAGGAGGAGACAAAAGGAGGGTCAGGCCGCTCCAGTGAGGCGGACGAACCTGCTAATTTGAGATTATTCACGAGGAAAGAAGACACTCAAATTAGAATGACCTTACTTTGCATGTGGAAGATGGGCTTGGCCACCCCCAAGAGCCTGCCGCATCCATCACCCATCCCAAGGGGGAGATTATGAAGAAAAATGGCAGGACCTCTCCCCGACCCCCACCCCCCAACAGCGAGCGGACTTGACGCCCAGAACAGAATGAGGGAAATGGTGATGTTTCCTCCCCAAAGGCTCCTGTCCTCGGCGCAGGCCCTTGGAGCAGAGACCAGTGCCCAGAAGTCCAGCCACCACCCTGGGTGACCTTTCTGGACTGACCCTGGGGCAGAGGCCCGTGAGGCGTGCTCAGCGTTTCCAGGGCATCGGCCTGGGTGAGGGGTGCCTGTTGTCCCCAAAGGCATGTTGGGAATTGTGACAGGATCACGTGCTGTTCTCTGCCCCGTCCTGAGCTCTTGACATCTATTATTTCACCCCCCGGGGACCTCACAGGGGTGCATATGCCCAGGGTCACACAGCTAGTAGCTGGCAGATGCAGGAAGACAGGACTGGGCATCCTCAGAGGTATTCCCAGCGTGGGAAGGGGAAACTAACAGGTACTTTGGGAACGCTGGGAGAATTTAGAAGAATTTCCCCTTCTTGCTCCCTGAGGGAGGCTCTGGGTTCGGGACCGGCCCTGCCCTTTGATCTAGAGCAATTTCTCCCTATGCCTCGGTTTGCCCATCTGCACAGTGGCAGTGGTGATGGCTGGCACCTCACAGACTTGGGGGAGGCGGGCTCAAAGCAGGGCCGTGCGTACATGTTAGCATCCTGACTGTAGTCCCAAGTGAGTAGTCGCCACGACAACGGGGAGCTTGGGCTGTGGACCAGCCCGCCATCTCCTCTTGCTCTAGTCTCCCTTTGTCTGTGACCAGGCTTTGCTGTGAGTCCATGGTCACAGGAGACTTGAGCTGAGCGGGGGGCAGTGGTTGGACCCACGCCTTCCACCACTGTGCTGGGCACTTGGCCGCATGTCCAGCAGGATCGGTGTGGCTCCACATCTTGGGGGCTCCTCTCTTGGCTGGAACTCCCGAAGCTGCCCGTCCTGCAGGCTTTGGCCTGCTCGGTGCTTTCAAAACTCTAGAATGTCTTGCCGGCGTTAAGGCCCAGGCAGTTCTGGGGAGATGGGGAGGTGTGGCTGTACTGGGCCAGCCTGCCTGGGGGCTGTCCTGTTTGGCCCGCTGGGCTTTCAACTAGCAGTGCCTGTCCAGAGTGCCCTGTGGACCTGGTGAGGAGGAGCTCCTGCTCGATTAGTGACGCCTGCTGTGGGAGCAGGATTGAGGAGTTGGGTACGAATGCTGAAACCCAGGCTGCCCACAGGGGCCAGGCAGATGCTGTCAAGCAGAATGGGGGCTGAGGTGGAGCTTGGGCCAAGTGGACAGCACAGCCTGTGTAGTGAGGGTGGCTGCCTGCAGCTCCATTCCTTTGAGTGGGGGCAGGGGACTGTGCGTGCAAGCGCCCTCAGGTCCCCAGTTTGCCACCGTTCCCAGCAGGTCCTTTCTGATACACTTTCCCGAGAGGTGGGTTCCTGTCGCCCGAGGCAGTGTCTCCCGTCGCCCGAGGCAGTGTCTCCCGGAAGGAGCACCCTGAGAGTGAAAGTTCACTGTGGTGCTGTCGGTGGGGCCAGAGCCCCCTCACCCTGTGGCCAAGGTCAAAACACCCAGCCCGGGGTGTTCTCTGCCTCATGGGTTGGGGTGAATCACCTGCCGGCCGAGGGGGCCTCTCCTACACCCCTCAGTGCCCGCACCCCCCGCACCCCCAGTCCGTGTCTCTGCACAGCCCGGAATACCCAGCTCGGTCCTGCTCGACCCTCTCTAGTCAGGCTTACGGGTTCAGACCGCCCTTGTTTTGCCGTGGCTGGAGTGCTGCAGAGCCCCCCACTAACCGCGGTCACCCTGAGGAGTGCTCTCCGCGTGCTGGGCACGTCGCCCTCGCACCACCTCCTCCTCCACACAGGGAAGCTGGGATGGATTCAGCGAGTCAGGGTCCCGGAGCCAGCCTGGGGGTCCCCTTGGGGACCTGCCCAAGGGTCTCGGGAGCCCGCAGGAGTCTCCCTCCTCCTCTGGCCAAGACCCCAGGCCTCTGGCTTCCAGAATAGAGCCTAGAAATGATTCGTGGTTTCTCTTTTTCTGAGCGTTTTCCCCTCTCTTCTCCCACGTGGATGTGCACAGGGCTGTGGCCCAGGGACCAGGGTGGTCACACTGGCGCCTTCGGCACCCTGGGCTCCTTGCTGGGGGGGATGCTTCACGCTGGACCTCGGCCCCCAGAAATCAGGTCCTCCTGCCCTTTTGGGGTCGGGTGAGCTGTGAGGTTTGTTCACACCCGCTCAGCCTGCTGGGGCCTCGTGCGCTGCTCTCTTTCAGGCCCTACCAGCCCTGTTGCCTCGGCCGCTGGACAACACCGGGAGGAGGGCAGAGGCCTGGCCAGGGCCCTGCAGGCCGCCGGGGCTGGGGACAGACAGAGGCAGTGCACACCTCCTTTCCTAAAGGCCCGGGCAGGCAGGGCGCCTGGAGATGGCGGGGGGAGGGGCAGAGAGGTGCCCACCCCCAGGTCCCCGGCCGGGTGAAGAGTGCATGGCCGGGGTGGGGGG